AATATCAAGAGGGGATCGGCTGGAGGCAGCGATGGCCAGGGTTTTGTTCTCCAGGTCCAACTGTACGATGCGGTCCTTTAGCTTCTGAATGACCACTTGGTCTTTCTGCTTGGCTTTTTCGTAAGTGCCAAGCAGTTCGGACACTTCGGAGACTTGGCCCTCCAAGTCGGCCACTCGCCGCTCCTCCATCTGGGCGTGCTGGCGGAGCTGCTCCTCTGCCTGTGCGGTCTAAGAGCGGAGAGAGACGGGAGGGACAGATTAGCTCAACACTTTGGGCAGGAGGCCCGCGCTTTACACGGGGGCTTAATTCTGCTCTGCTGAACTCCAAACAAGCGCAGGGCCATCCTTTCCCCTAGAATCCTACACAAGCCGCCGCACTGACTTGCCTTTCTGGATATATTGCCGGGAGAAGAGAAGGCTCCGGGGAGACCTTATTGCCGCCTTCCAGTCCCTAAAGGGGCTCCAGGAGAGCTGGGGAGGGACTTTTTACTGGGGCATGGAGTGACAGGACGAGGGGAAATGGCTTCAAACTGGAAGAGGGCGGGTTTAGATTAAACATTAGGAAGAAGTTTTTCCCTGTGAGGGTGGTGAGGCACTGGCCCAGGTTGCCCAGAGAGGTTGTTGAGGCCCCATCCCTGGAGGTGTTCAAGGCCAGGCTGGAGGGGGCCCTGGGCAACCTGGGCTGGTGGGAGGTGTCCCTGCCCACGGCAGGGGGGTTGGAACTCGATGATCTTCAAGGTCCTTTCCAACCTAAACCATTCTATGATTCTATGATATTGTTTTATTCGAGGATAAAATAAACTAAAAGGATAAAATAAACTAATTTCTGCTTTTGTTCCCTGCTCTGCAGAGCTCCTGTCACCAGCGTTATCTGCATTGCTGTAGGTGTGTGGGGGGGTGGGAAACAGCGAACTCACGTCACAATCTGCTACAGGATCTTTTAAAAATGTGTGTGTGCTCTAAAGCTTTCACACATCTAACTGCAATTTACTGAAATCCCCTGCTTTGTTGCACCGATATTAATATAATTCAGTGGTTTCTGAGTAGCCACAGCAAACTCCCGGTGTTCCCAGTTTCTGCAGCTACTGAGATACAACTGACTCTGGACAACGGCAGCACTTGACAATCACCACTGTGAACTAAAACACAGCCAGAGTCCAGTCACCATCACCTCTGTCAGAGACAAGCTGTCGGAGACCACTTCCAAAAAAGGGGCAAATTCCACTAAACTAGCCTGATGCTTCAGATTAGAAAGAAATAAACTTGTTCCAGACTGCAAGGAGATGAGGAAGATCCCATTCTGGAGTGTTTCCAGATGGAAATTCAGTTACTGGTGCCAACCCCTGAGCGCGTTGCCCCACAACTTGCAGAGTTCCTCTTTTCTACCACATCGCTCTTTCTAGCTCTTCGCTCTCCCCCTGCATGCACACAGGCTACAGCCCTTCTCCTTTCCTAGAGCACTCCAGCTTCAATGAAGGTTAGTTTTCATAACCTCCTGTACCTTGCATTGCACTGACACGCTTTACAGAGACAAGACCATACTCGGTGCCATGGCGGGGCAGAGGAAGGGTCTCTCCTCCCAAGTCTGGCCACTGTCACACCAGACAGTAAGACGTCCAGAACAAAAAGACACTGGGGAGGACAGTCACCGTGTAATCACCTCAAAGGCTGCTCCCAAATCCAGTTGTCGCCACCCCCCTGATTAACGATTTATACGCTGTATCACAAACAGCTTTTATTTTCCTCGGGGACTATCATCCCATCAAACAAAGCCATGATGCTTTTACTTATTTCAAACCTCATGGACTCTGCAGGACTAGGAAGGGGAATTTGTATTCCTCCAGCCCCAAACCCTGCCCCAATCGCTGCCGATACAGAGCGAGCTGCTCCAGGGCCCAGGCAAGGAATTACCTTCTTCATCTCTTGCAACAGCTGCACGTGGAAGTGGTTCTTAAGGCTGGCCATCTCCTCCTGCAGATCCTCTATCCGGGGGTCTGGCTTGTTGCTCTCCTCCTGAACAGCCTGCAGCTCTCTCTTCAGGTCTTCCACCTCCTGGCTCAGCTGCTTGATCTGCAGCTCGTACCCCTCAGCACGGTCAGCCATGCACACCCTCCCGGCCAACACCTCCCTGGTCTCCTCCAGCTTCAGCTCTGCATCCTGGCGCAAAGTCCTCTCGCTCTGCAGCAGCTTCTGTAGCTCCCGCAGCATAACAGCATGGTCACTCTGTTCCTGAGCTCGGTCATGCTGCTGCGTGATCAGGCGGGCTTTGGTCTCGGCTAGCTGTTCCTGGACAGACTTCAGCTCCATCTCCAACTTCTCTGTCTCGTCCTCTGCTTTCTTAATGGCGTCATCCAAGTCCTGCTTCATCTTCTTCTTGTCTGCTTGGTACGAGGCTTCCATGCGGGACTTCTCCTGCGTGACCGTTGACAGAGCGCTGGTCAAAGTGGCCAGCTGGGTCTTCAGCTGGAGGACTCTTTTATCAGCCTCGCTAGCAGCAGATGACACATCCCCGCTGCTCGTGCTCATGCCGCTCTCTGAACTGCTTGTCTCTTCTGATTTAAGAGAAGAAGCGGTGGCTCCGGGCTTATCATCCTCAGGCCCTGGTTCACCCTTGGTACTGGCCAGGCTGGCAGCAGTGTCTGCACTGGTAGCTGTGCCCACGCTATCTTCGCTGTGAACCGAGCTCCTGTCATCAGCAGAATCGGCAAAGGAAGAGCTGGAGCTAGCCACAGACACAGCCTGAGCACCACTCAAGCCGATATCTGCCTCATGAGACACAGACAATACTTTCAAGCTGGCTTCCAAGGCTTCCTTCTCTTTGAGTAGGCTCTTGTAGGCTCTGACGACATCCTTCAGCCGAACCTGGTACTGAAGAAGCTGCTTCTTCTGCGATTCAATAGTCTCCAGAAGATCTTTTTTACTTGGGCCACCTCCAAAGGTCATGCCAAACTTCTCCATGATTCATGCAAGCTGAAAGGATTAAAACAGCACAAAGGCTAAACGAGCAGCAAAGACACATTTGTGACCGGCAGGAGCAGGCAGCTAAGCAGGACCACCATCCTGAACGCCCCCAGGGCACTACATGGCTAATGACTCTGCAATGCATCTGTTACCTCACACTGAACCCTGCAAAGCAGCCGCATGCTCCAGGAGCCACAGGACTCGGTGCACGAGTTCTGCTCTGTGGGGAAACACGCTCCTGCTATGACTCGAATTCCTCAAGATTCTCAGCCAGAGCCAGAGAAAGTGCTTTAATACCTCATACAGTGATATCTGCCACTGCAGCTGCCCACCCCCTGCTAGGGGGGGGGGGGGGGGTTACACCTATAAATGGCTTGATCTTGATTTTTCAAGAAAAAAAACCCTCTTGGGCTGTCCCTTGGCAGCACTGCTGCCTGCTGTGAAGGTAATCCAACTGCTGCCAGCTCTAGGTGGGGGGCCCCTGCTCTCGGGGGGTCCCATGGTAGGTCATAGGTGGGGTCCAACGCAGAGAACCTGCCATGGAGGGGTGGGGTGTCAGCACCCGGGGCCGGCGAATTCACAGGAGGGGAGTGAATGCGGGAGTGGGACGGGGACATGGTGGGGTTCAGGGGGGTGAAGCTGCCGAAGGAGGGCCTGGGGGCAGCCACTGAGGCAGGGGGACTGCGGGGCAG